GCTGAACAAAAAATGTAATGGGCTCAAACTTAAATAATTGCTAGTTACTGGGCTACAGCCAGTCAAACATGGAAAATTTGGCCTCTGCGGGTCTTGTTTGGAAATACTTTGAAGCATATTAGGAAAAATGTTTCAGACAAACGTGGTTTGGTTCGAAGGGAGACATAAGACGATGCCATTAATTTGACCTTGGATAATAATTTGAAGGTCACATGAAGGTCAATTTCAATTTCTTAAATGGACACCCCCATTTTTCATTGCACATTTTTATGTCATGAGTTTTTCAAAGACACTATGTAATGAAATATAGTCTTATTTCGAACCAAAAAAATATATATCGATCCAAACAACTTTTGTCTGAAACATTTTTTCCTAGTATGCTTCAAAGTATTTCCAAACAAGACCCGCGGAGCCCAAATTTTCCATGTTTGACTGGCTGTAGCTCAGCAGTTACTGAGTAGTAGTAGTAGAGAATAGTAGTTACAGCTGAGCCATTACTTAAGTTTGAGCCCATTATATTTTTTGTTCAGCAGGTCATAAGCTACAACATATGTGAAAACGCCAATTTAACCGAGATCCAATTTCCTATATGATTAGTGCGGGGTTCTTTCACAATAATTGTATTAAAGATTGAGACGGGAAACTTATAGTCAACCCAACTGGCTAGTTGTTAAATTAATTTATTACACAACGTTTCGACCCTATTATTTTGGGTCCTTTTCGCGTGATACCGAGTCAGTAATCGTCGTCGAATGACTGTATTAAGGTGATTCGCCAAAACACAGCTGTTTTGCTGGCATACCATTTAGAAATACATTGTGCAAATATTTATCAATATTTGATGAAAGGTCTCCATTTCTGCGTACGTTCGAAACATGTACGCATAATTCCGGCGTTCCAAGTTTCATCGAGATTTCGTCACACAATATCCTAAATATTTTTCTATCGGGGTTGTGGTTATCGACGTGCTTACGTGTTTCAGGCCACGAAAGAAGGAAAGATTACGGGAAGCAGAAGATGTGGGGCAGCATTGGCTTCGGTATTTTTGGCATAAGCGCGGGCTACCTGATAGACCTCTCCAGCAAAGGGCAATACGAAAAAGATTATACCTGTATATTTTACATTATGTTAGTGGCCATGGTCGCCGACATTGTGGTGTCCGCGACATTGAAAAAGGTACAAAGGAAGCTCTCGAGTGTTAACTAAAGGCTAAGGCGACACCGAAGTTTGATGCTTTTTTTACTTGCTGAAAGAGTCCAAAAGTGGCAGGTAATGGGGCAGTATCGTTGCAGAAAAGTCCAGAATGCTCCGCAGACGAGCCGTCGCTGTTTCGGGAGCTGTTGAGTGTTGCCAAAGAAGGAAGGGTATTGGTGTTCGCCTGGTGGTGCATAGGCGCCGGGATGTGCACAGCAGTCATTTGGAACTTCCTGTTCTGGTACAGCGAGGAACTCGCGGTTAGCTCTCACGTCACGTGGAGCAAAACCCTGCAAGGTCTGATGACCGGCGTCCAATGTTTCCTCGGAGAATTGCCCTTCAACTTCGTATCGGGCACTGTACTGAAGAAGCTCGGCCACGTTAACGTTATGAGCCTCGTGTTGCTAGTCTACGCAATTAGGTGGATAATCAGGCTTTTACAATTTCATTGAATGTACCGAGATTTTATGTTACTACAAATACCAATTTGATCCTGCAGATTTATGGCATACAGCATTGTATCGAATGCCTGGCTGTTTTTAATTCTCGAGTTGCTTCACGGACCTTCGTTCGGTCTATGTTGGCCGACGATGGTGTCCTACGGCGATAAAGTGACACCGTCCGGCACGAAAGCCACCATGCAAGGATTTATCGGTGCTGTTTTCGAGGGAATTGGTTAGTTGTTAGTTTAATACTGTACGGGATCGCTTGTATCTTTTAACTCGTCTCGACACATAAATGTTTTTATTCCTTATCTATTTTAGGCGTGGCAAGTGGTAGCTTCATATGCGGCTGGTTAATAGATTCTTACGGAGGTGTTGTAGCAATGAGAACTTTCTCAGTGGGTGCTCTCTTGTGGCTAAGCGTCTTTTGGTTAACGGAACTCTTACTGAGGAAGATGAAAGCCTATCCACTGTACCGAGGCCATAATCGTGAGTAACGATTATGTGGATATGTAAAAAATAAAACCAATGGTTATAAATGCATTTTTTTGTTCAATTCGTAATTAAAATATTGTCACGCCCAGAAATTGACAGAACTTCCAAGTACTGTAGAGTTTATATTTAAAGATCGTGAGTTTCGGGGCATCCCATACGTTGCACGAATTTACATTTTAATTTGCACTTTATAATAGCTTATTTTCTTGCATGAAAACAATAGTCTATATTCCTATTGGTTCTCTTTTTTTCAGATCTAGCGAATTATGCCAATCCAGATGACGCTATTCTTATGACGATAAGTCAAGAATTACAAACTTATTAGAAGAACAAATTTATACGATAATTTTATAATTTATTAATACAATCTTTATTGATGAACGAGTGAAAGTCCCATCGCACGATTAAAATTAAAAAGTTACTTTTTCACCACGTTTGTACAGCTGTTATTTCTTATCGTGATATTTTTTTTATATAACATTCAAACGAAATGCAGTATTATATGTCATGTGTGTATAAAAATGTAAATTATATTACATTATCATTGTAATATATACTTTTCTAGAACTACCTGCTTGCTTATATTTACATTCGTGCTCTCGTGCACAGATAATCACAAAAATGCCATTTTATGTAGTAATGTATTGCCAGGCGTGTACAAAACCGAAAAACGGCAAACTGAAATTATTGAACGTTTAGAAGCGATCAATAATTTCAACGTCCTTAAATTATTCTTTGCCAAGTGGCTTAACAATTCATTCGTGGCATTGAGAAATGATAAACAGAATTGTCATTGTTGGTAAAATAACAAAAAGTAAAATGTCAGGAGAGATATTAGCCGGGACGTGTGTCGAGCGTGGAGGGATTAAAATTATCAAGTTGGTCAGCAAAATATCTCAACCATTTATTCACTGTGAATCCATTTTTTCCAAGAACGGAGATATACCAACACTAACAAACATAGCATGCCTGTTCGATCGCAATCAGTCGATTAGCACAACTTCCTTACGAATCTCGTCTACTCTATCGATAAAAAGCTACAAATAACTTTCTTTCCATTCGTACCGCGACACTAAGTAATGATCGCAGGGCATTCGCATTTATAATCCTCGATAATGAACCCATGTATCGTCTGTCGGCGGTACACGGGAGACTCGCATCGCGGTAAACATTTCCGTGGCGTTAATCTTGTTTCGGCGTCGACGAACGTTGAGCGACGGAGCGTAATGGTGAGGTGGTTTGACTGCTACTCGGTATAGGCTCTATCATAGCTTGCAGGTTGGGGATCTCGCCAGTCGCGGTGTCGCAGCAATCGTTCATTATGATCCCGGCGCCCGGATGGATGAACGCGAGGCTGCCCTCGCTGGACGAAGCTAAGCTGGTCGAAAGAGGCGGAGATCGTTCCTTAGGCGATGCCGAGGAAGCGGGATTACCCATGGGCGAGGTGTTTGAGTATGTCGCGGTCTCCAATTTACCGTGAAGCTCGAGTATACGGCCTTCTAGAAGAAGATTGATCTCCACTTGCGCTCGATACTTGGATTCGACCGAATCCAGTTCAGACGCGTGTTGCTCCTTCGTTTCCTGCAGAAACCGTTGCAGGTTCACTAGTTGCGTCTCCTTGCGCGCCTCCTTATTTTCTAATTCGCTCAAGCGTGCTTTTAGGGCTTCCAAATGCGACGATCGTGATTCCAACTGTCGCCGAATATCTGCAAAAGGATTTCGAGGGAGTGTTCGTAATTTGCATTTAATGCCAAAAAAATCATTCTCAAGCTTGTCTGACTTTCGGACGCTTACTGTTTAACTCTTCTGTACATGATTTTTGAATCAGCGCCGTTTCTTGCTTGGTTGTCGGTGAGAGAGTACCTGTGTTTTCTTCTAATTTTAATTGCGCCTGCAAGAAAAGAGATGCATGTATAATTATTCTCGTAATAACACTTGTTTGCTACAGGTAATTTTGTCAATTTAAATTTCCATTAAACTTGTTAACATGATTAATTTGAGATACATTACCTCCCCTAAAAGCACAAATTTCTTTTGCATGGTATCCACAATGCATTCCAGTTCTTTGCCACGGTCCGCGGCCTTTAACGCTGCTTTAAGCTGGTGTCCCGCATTGAAAAGTTCCGCTTCGACAGAACGAAGTTGTTGCTGCGCTTCAGCCGCCTTCTTTTGTTCGCTTTTTAATTCCAACTCTAGGCTCTCTAGGCGATCTTTAAACACGTGACTTTGTCGCTGCTCTTCGACGCACTGCAATAAGATCATTAGCTTTTCAATATTTTTTTCTTTCTCTCTTCCACACACTTTAAAAAATGAGACATACTTTAGTTTGCCAATGATGCATAGCTTCCTTGTATTGTTCCTCAGCTTGTTGCGTTTCCCTTTTATTACGCTCCAATTGCGTTTTCAATTCATCCACTTCTTTCTCGATCATTTTTAAACGCTCAGTCTGTAAGACGAATAATATCGAGTCCATTTCAACAATTGCATACAAAATTTAATAAATAATTTATAAAATTTATAAGCAATTAGGTTGAATAATTCGACACAACTGGCTACAGGAAAATTTCCTTTATTGTAACAACGCTTCGGCCATGGGTTTTGGCCCTTTTCAAGTGTACTCTACAGCATCTAGTCGGCGTATGGCATGTGGTCAAATGCTATTAGGCCCACTGGACAGAAATGAGAACATCGGGATAATTACTTATAAGCTAAATATATCAGCGTGATTTGGAACGGAAATAAATTAAATAAGTTAAATACGCATGATTGCTGTATGGGTACAGAAATGAGACTAAGTGTATGTAGGTCAGCCTAGTGTCAAGAACCGACAGTCAACAAATTAAAAACATACAAATAACATTAGAGATAAATAAATAGGCAAATCCGGAATCCGGAAGCCATTACGACTGAAATAGGTAAGTATACGGGGTGTCCCAATTTAATGTCCTACACAACAATAAAAGGATTATGTCGACGATAACTGGCAAAGTATATTTTCAATCAATACACATTGATATATTGATTGAAAATATACTTTGCCAGTTATCGTCGACATAATCCTTTTATTGTTGTGTTTTACCCACTGGCGATCCACCTCTGACTATTAATGTCCTACCTTAAATAACTTTTTTATTTCTGATCACAGAAAAAAACGTTTCAGACAAAAGTTGTTTGGTTCGAAGGGGGACACAAGATGGTGCCATTAGTTTGACCTTGACGAGTTGCTTGAAGGTCACGTAAAGGTCACCTTCAATTTTTTTAATGGAACCCCCCATAGTTTATTATACTATCTTATTCTACTAATTAATATGAATAACTTTTGTCTGAAACACTTTTCGATATGCCTAATATTTTACGAGATATTCAAAAGAAAATTTTAACTTTTTCAATGTTTAGCTCGAGATATCTTGATAACTGTTTGTCGGAGGGAAAAGTAGTACGGGACTTTTTTACTTGATTTGGTCTCGAAAAGATGCTGCTGTACTACTTTTCTCTCCGATACACAGTTATCAAGATATCATAAGCTAAACATTGAAAAAAATATATAAATTTTCTCTTAAATATCTCAAAAAGTATTAGGCAAAGAAAAAAATGTTTCGAACATAAGCTGTTCATATTAATTAGTAGAATAAGATAGTATAATAAACAATGGGGGTAGGGGGTTCCATTAAAAAAATTGAAGGTGACCTTCACGTGACCTTCAAGCAACTCGTCAAGGTCAAACTAATGACAACTTTTGTCTGAAAGGGGTGGGACATTAAATTGAGACACCCTGTACAGGGTGGCATCCAAACACTCTTTACCGTATTCAAAAACAATCTTTGTAGTGACATGCCTAACGTACGTATTTAACTCACACTGATATATTTAGCTTATAAGTAATTATCCCGACGTTCTCATTTCTGTCCAGTGGGCCTAATGGCATTTGACCACCACATGCCATACGCCGACTAGATGCTGTAGAGTACACTTGAAAAGGGCCAAAATCCATGGCCGAATCGTTGCGTTACAATAAAGGAAAATTTCCTGGCGATTCAATATTTCAAGTTTTACTAAAATTTATAAGGTTCTAATGTGAAAATATAGATACGAAGTAATAAAGGAGTAATAGCCAAGACAGGATGTTGGTGTCTAAATAATTTTAATTTTAGGTCTATTGCGAAAAATAATACCTCAGCCAGGGGTAATATTTGAACATCCCGTCTTGGCTCTTACTCCTTTATTACTTCGTATTAATAAATAATGTTTATAAGCGTATGAACAAACCAGAGCGAGATTATGCTCTTCCGAAGCCCGCGAGTCTCTTAGTTTACCGAGCAGACGCCGATTACGCTCAGCATGGACCTCCCGTCGCTGCCGCTCGAATTGCAGTTGCATTTGCATAAGTTGAAGCGATTGATTAGCGCAAGACGGATCTACACCATCGTCTTCCCCTCCGTCTTCTTCAGCATCCTCCTCCCCTTTCTTCTTCTGCTTCTGCCTGGTACCGTTTGCCCCTGTAGAAAGCTAGTATTTCACTTCACCCGCCAGAGATTACCTGCTATTATAACTGTACACAGATCACTTCATATTTACTCGTTTTACTAAAGAAGCTATTTGTTCTTGTGCAAGCCTCGATATACCGATCGAGCATGCTGATTGGCGACATTCTCAAATCAGAACTTTCTTGACTAAAGTTTTGGCTGTTCTGATCCAGCATCCCTAGCAGCAGATGCTCGTATGGAAACAGATCGCACGTCTGACTGCCCGTATCCTCGCGCCTCTTCGCTCCTGTTAGCGCTTGATCCGTCATATCCTCACTGTAGCATTTCCTCTGCATTTCCATGTCCGGACACGATCTGGAGTGTCGAATCTGTGCCGAGTAAATAAAAATATTAGTTTTCTTTTCTTTCATCGTTGTTGGTAGTGCAAAGTCTATGCAATAATCTTCGAGCTCTTGGATACTTCACTTTGTGCGTTACGTTTGAATTGGAGTCCTCCATCGGGAAATGGCATTGTGAGTACAGCCGGAGTTGATAAATCTTTTGCGACAAATCGGACAGCGCGCCGTACGTGCTCCTCTCGTTTCGTGCCTCAGACTGTGCCTCTACATACTTTGGCATCTCGACCGCTCCGTTTCCGTGCGAACTGACAATCTCCAGCACCTACGTCAGAACATTATCGCGATATCACGTCTGTATTTATACAAGACGTAGGATCTTTCGGTAAATCGCTCAAACCTCTTGGTCCTCCTGCCAAGAATCATTCTTCCCATTTTGACTTATAGCCATTTCTAAGAGCCGTCCATTCTCCTCGCCGCTACTGATTACTGACTTTTGTAACTGAAGAACGTTTTGTCTCTCGGTCATAATTTTATTTAGCCTATTCGAGAGAAATCCATGCGCACTCGCCACGTCTGTGCCTTTCACTCCGGAGACAGAAGATGAATTCATAGGAGTCGGCGTCGAGGGCCGGGAAGATGTCCCGTTGCCCAAGGCGTTTAGAGCGCGCACAGCGCTAGATCCCAGAGGCGCTTGTCTCGTTGATAATTTTCGTAGATCCTACGCGAAATACATAGAGAGAGAGAGAGACACAGAAATTTTACTTGCATTCTTCGTTTCGCATACCTTAACGGGCGTCGTTTCGGGGGTGGCTTCTATGGCGGCCTCGGGCGGGGAGGTGCCGCTTCTATTGTTATTAGGCGTCGGCGGGGCGGAGCGCGACTCGAGAGAGCCAGTTTGCGCCGGGCTATGCGGCGGCACTGTCATGCTCGGTGACCAGAACGAATCGTCCTCCTCGTTGCTAATCTCCATGCTCGTTACTCCCCCGCAAATGTTTATCGGCGCACAAGCGACGGAGGATTGATCTGCGATCAAAAGCGAGGCGTCATTTTCCACCGCGTACCTCGGCGGCGAGAGGACGCGGGTATGGAGACGGTAATGCTGACCTAGAGGCGGGGTGCACCGGGAGTTGACTGCACCTAAAATATCCTCCCGGCATTTATCTAACGTAAAACGGCCGCATTCTATCACAACGTCGTGATGCTCCATCTTCTTCCACCTGCGACAGAGACAATTTAAGCGCGTGACGCGCAAAACACGTTGCTTTACATACACGTATACCTGGTGGCTGAAATTTCCGCATCCTTGGACGCTGTGACCAGAGAAGGATGCATACGCACGGAGTCCAGCATGGGTCGAATAGTGTGAGTAAACGTGGCCAATTGTTCGCGCAGAACGTACTGTTGCTTCAGGTATGATATAAAATTGCAGGGATACATCGCGTACAGTCTATGAAATAAGCCGTATAGTCCTACCTGCAACGGTGGGGCAAGCGATTAGTGCGTTAACGTTACACGACGCTTACTTGCGACATTAGTAGAGCCGTTCACCTGCAAATGTATGAGGTACAAGTGGTCCTTGTCGATGAGACTTGGTGCTGTGGTCGGAGTAAAAGAAGGAGAAAGTAAAGGCGATTGATGATGATGATAATAAGAGGCCAAGCGGCCGAATACCTCAAATATTTCTGGTAGATACGGCCCTAGAGCAGCGGGTAACATTGGTAACAACATTACTAACAGAAGAAGGGCACTCATAAGTGGTAATATATCTGCCTCCACCTTGAAAAATACAGTCTTGTAAAACTGTATATATGAACACTTAATTTTTACTTATTTCTTGTTTTTCAATCGGATATTATTCCAAGTGTAAACGTCGACAATTCATTGGCGTATGAAAATTATGTATACACAGTATAAATTCTATGCGCTGAAGGTGAGTCACGGCCGCGTGGAAACATGCAAAGAAGACGCGGAGGTGACCAATCGACGAGGAGAGGTTTATATGCGTATATACGTAAATTAGCCTTGACGAGAAAGGAAAAGGCACGCGGAGAAATATATTACCTTAAGTAATTTGAGTAGATCTCTGAATAAAGCATGACTGGCTAGCTTGTACAACCAAGTGGGCTGACGCCTGGCTATATGCCCAAGCAACGTCAGCGCCTGTATTCTCTGTCCACTATTGCCAGGTTTCGAAAGGACGTCCGACAAACGGTCCAACAGATGTTTATCGTGCGGATCCCGCACTCCCGCTAATACCTCCGCTGTTCTCAGAGAGTTGGTCGAGAGATAATAGTCAAGCAATCCATTTACCAGCCAATTATCCTTTGCTGCGAGCGAAAGACCCACGAGTTAGGGGGCGGTTGGAACTGGCGTTAGCGAACGAAGGCAAAGACCCCGTGTTACTCACTGCATAAGAAATGATCGTGGAACACCTTCTTGATCTCCTCGACCTCCTCGAGCTTGTTCGACTCCAGCAAGTAAACCAGATCGGCGACGCCTGCCGGGCCGGCGCTCATCTTGACGGCGAGTAGTGGCGCGGCTGGAAAGATCCTACCCTCTCATGGTCCTTCGATCAGGCGGTGGAAGCGGTAATCGGTTCGGCAACCTCGCTCTGAGCCATCCGTCGTCTGTCACGCGAGACAGGCATTGTCTGGAGCGACGGGGATGCCAGGGTACCTGCGGCAGGGAAGAAGATACGCCGCGCGTGAGACGCGGATCGTCGGGGCGGCCAGGCGGCGGCGAGCGTACGCGGGGATCGCCGACACGTCGGCGCGGCCGTCCGCGCCAACTGTCAGCGCGCGTATCCCTTTTTCCCCCGCTGCACGACAGCCGACACACGGCGGAGAGGACCTGTCGCTCCCGCTCCGCGTAACCGCAAAACTGTCAGTCACCTCGGCGGCCTGACTTGGCCCGGGCGTCGAGCCGCACGCGCGGCCACGACGTCGGCCGCGCCTCGGCGGCGTATCGGGCCGAATCAACCGGAGCAACACTCACCCGAATCTCATCGAGCACCTCCACGGCCGAATTCCTGCGAGTTCTATGGCGACTGGCGAGCTCGGGTGGTGGAAATACCTCCATATATCTTCCTCGGGAGGCCCCCTTGGTGCTGCCATCTCGGCCGTCCGGCATTAATTCTCGCGGCGCATCTAGACGAGATCGCGTAGCAGAGGATCGAGTTATCTCGCGAACGCGGATTACTTCCTTTGATCGATAAAACAATTCGACCTGCGCGGGATTTGCGGGCTTGTTCAAATTTCCTCTCCTTCTTCCATCGAATGTCTACTTTCACCAAGGTGGATTGACTTTAAGGATGTATCGGACGAACAATCTTGGACAAAAGTGCAGATGAAATTGGAAATACTTGAATATCTATAAACTTTAACGATAGTTGGAGTCTTATTTGTACTCCTACAAAGGTTTTTTTCCTGCATTATTTGCGATTTTTTTCACTTATAAGCCTAAACTTTTGATAGTGAAAATACCCCGATTTCAACTTAATAACGTCAAATATTTTCAAAACTAAAAAATTCGTGCCTACAGCACGAATATCTCAAGTTACATTTTATTTCTTTAAAACGGTGTAGTAAAGACTATTGAA